TTTTCATTGAATACCAAGAAACAGTAAATAACAATGTTATATATCTTAGAAAATTTTCGATATCAAAGGATTGCATTTGAAATATTGATTTTCATTGGCGCCAAAACTTCGAGCTATAGACATAGAGATTGTCTCTTTTAGTGGAACCCTGTTTAAATATGACAAGTCTGTAATTAATACACAGTGAGTCTGACAATAGTTTGATTTATCATTCATAATGTGTCAACAAATGCTTCGAAGATCCAATGATATTTATCTATTTCAGGCAAACGCAGTCTGGTCAACCTTGAAAGTAATCGTTGGTTAAAAGATCTTATGATAGCATAAGAATATTTGTCTCGTATTTTTCTGACTATGTGCAGTTAGAGAGACTGACTGCACAATGCTCTTTGAGAAGGATAAATAAATGATGGATTCCTTCAGAACTGATGATAACCTACAGACCTTATGCAGCATTAACAAATGACTCTGATTTCTAACTTTGAAACAAATCAAACGACTAACCTGTATTTGAGACGATGACCACGGCAGAGTAGGTTTTAAATAGACTAGAACTGAGTACGTGTTTAAATCCAACATTGCAACTGATTTTCCGAATAGAATATTCTTTTGAGGCGAGACATGTTCTTTTATAATATTTAGTGACTCTTTTTGAAAGGAAACAATGAAAACAGTATCCAAATGTGGAACACCAACGATCATCATCTTCGATTGTTCATGAATCGAAATTGACAAAGTCGCATGTCGAGTATGTATATCCACTTGCCATATGAAATTTTCCGATGATAATTTTTTCATTTGAAGTGGTATTGGATTGAATGGATCGGAAAGCTTAGCAGAATACAAGTAAGGAAGAGTTTCTCTTTCATCTGCAAGTATTTGATAGGCTACTAGAAACAAATAATGATCGTCCGTAACGACAAGTGCTCGACTATAGAAAAAATTTGTTCGATCCCATAGATTCTTATTTTGTATTTTTATACTTTTATTATGAACAATGTCAAAGTACAGAGTTTCACCTAACTGTACGACATATGCGTGTGTACCATATGGATTGATACCAAGAGCAAAAGCTTGGAAGTCTTGACTTGAATCCAATTCTCTCCATAGAATATGATCCAACGGAGTAATACAAATAGAAGGATGTCTCAGAATCACCACTAATAAATAAATCTTCTTCCAACGATCTTCACCAATCACTGCAAATACTGGACGACTTTCATTTTGTTTGGTACCCATGACTATGTTATATACATAATTGAGTGACGACATATTTCCATTCCATATAGACAATGATGAATAATATAAGGTACAAGTTATCGGATTAGATGAAAACGGTTCTTCCATTATTGTAAATTGATAATAATCGTTCTCTGCAAAAATCGCCAGATTTTCATTAACAGCCAATCGATCTCCGAATGCATCATAATCATTTCGATTAAATAACTCTTTCGTTATCCCGCTAATAAATGGTAATGTTAATAAAATAATAAAAACATTGTACATTCTCATATATTTTGTTGAGTTGGATAATTATTTCCAGTTCAACTACGCGAATAAAACTACAATCAATATAGAAACTATTGTGACTGGTCTTTCAATCCTATAGACTTCTTTTTTTAATGACACGGATCTTGAAAGTGTCATCATTTTTTTAAAAGTAAACAATCAAATCGGACAAGCTTTCTGACTACTCAAAAACGTAGAAAGGGTAAAATTCTTCATTTCAAGGTTGTTGACAGTGGATAATAGCTTTTCTCTTTATCTTTAATTGGATATTACTAAAAAAGAAGAGATAATCTTTAAAATATGTGCTCAATTTTGTCGAATATTAAAATTGTTGAAAAAATCCATACCCTATAATCAAGCGTCGTTGTCTGTCTGTCTGTTACCAGGTCAAAGGTCAGAATGTTGAGCGAATTGGTTGTAGAAAGAACTCGAAGGTTATGGAAGGCTCTAGAAGATTTCGGATATAGAAAGGTATAATAGGCTCTGGAAGATCCTCAGAATGCAGTTGGAATTGTCTAGAACTTTGTAGAACTCTATCAATAACGTATTACATTGCGTGGACAAAGGTAATCAGTGGGTGACCAATGGTCAATATTGACTATTACTGGAATATCCCAGAACGCACTTGAAAATTCTTTAATCCATACCTATACAATAATTCACAGCGGTCTGTATATCTGTTACCAGATCAATGGTCAAAGATCAAATTGATTATTACTGAGTTGCTAGAAAATTCTCGGATTATGTAGACTCTACTACAACGTAGGTGGTATAAGGAGTATAACAGACATACGGAATATAGGGACTATGAGAAGGATAGCGAATATAGGTAGTATAAGAACTATATTCAATATAACAGTGTATAAGGACTATAGCAAGTATAAAGAGTGTCTAAGTATGTAACAAAAAAACAGTCCGTGCAGTATGCACGGGGTCTGGCTAGTTTGCTATATTTCCTTGAATATAATCATTCTCAGTTAAACAAGCATCCAGTTCTTGTCATAATGACCTGCATATTAGGAACTGGTTTTGGTATGTTTGCTATAGAAGTCATCTTTGTAAATTTTAATAAAAAATGTGAAAATGAACGTCTAAACAGAAGAAGTATTTTTGTTTTTGACAAGGACTATTTTCAAATGTTGAAAAGACATGACGGCACTATTCTTAGAAGAGGCTTCTATAGTTTCATCGAAATGATTCTCTTTAGTGTTATTCACTTACCAATATTAGTCGACTTTCGAGTGATATATTAAGAGTTGACTTATGCTTTGCTCATGTGTACATATTTATCAAAACTTTTATCTGCAGTAAATATTTGTTAGATCAATATAAAAGCCTTGATTGTGAATAAAGTAAGTATAATTATTGAGTAGAAATCGGATACATTGCGTCATATTCTACCTGTTGAGAAGCTTATTTTATTCGTATGTTCGATAAATAAAGAAATTCAGCATAAATTTATCAATGACATAAAATCCTAATCAATTATTGAGTCACAATACGAATCTATTCATACTAATATTTGTCATGTGATTATTATTTTCTGTTCTTTACTTTTATTTTATTCTATAACTTAAAAATAAAGTTATCAGTTTATATGCATATAGAAAATAACTCTCAATCGAGTTCTTCGTTCGTATTAATTTTGAGTACTTGTATCAAACATGAGAATATAAGGTTATATTTTTTCGCAATTGATCAATGTGATTTTTTTAAAAAGATTTTTAATTAAGTGCAGAACAATTCTAAATAAAAACTAGAGTAGTATAAAAGAAGAATTATTTATCTTATTCAATGGTTCGGTATTCGTCAAAATTCACTTGTTATATGTTCAGTCAAAGATTGTATGTTGAATAATTCAATAATCAAATTTTGTCTCAAGAAGGTAAGGTTAAATTTGCAGACGTGAGATTCAGCGAAAGTGTATGAAGAATTCTAAAGAAGAAAATATGAGGAGAAGAGTTTTCAAGATTTAGAAAAAAATAAACAAATTAACTTGTAATGATTGTCGAAAAAGAAATGATTGATAAAAGTTCTACAAGACTTGGAGAATTAAACAAAAGTGGTGGACAACAATTATATGATGGTTAAATTAAATTTTTTATGTAATCAGATTAATAGATGTATTTATAAAATCGAGTGTTTTTTGTTTATTTAATAAAATATCTTATTGATCGATGGCGAAAAATTTATTCTCACTTTCTTATTATTACAAAAGAAGATATTATCCGACAATATATAATTTCGAAGATTGACAGGAGTATTCATGGCTCATACGAAAAGAATTCCGTTAGGAGTTATTTTCTGTCTGGATATAAACTAATTTTGTCGTGTCTCAAAAAGAAGAGTTGCTTTGTCCTTAGCATCAATTATGTATCAATATCGTCATGATACCAATAAAAACTATATTCATCTATTCAAAATCATAACTGTGGATATCAAATCGAGCAATTCACCGACATATTAATCAATTTAGACTTCTAAGAAAATGCAATACACTCTATTGTGATCGGTCAGAATATGATGGTTCTCAAGAGGTCATCCGTTGGGTTTTGAAAAAGGAAGGCCATAGTCCTTTTGAATTCAATCTCACCAAAGAATATTTATTTAGTACACACTATCAAGATTAATTGAAATGGATCGTACCGTACAAATAAACATTCGAATCGACTTAGCAACACACAGTTGAATGGGATCCTAGAAGTATAGCTTTAACTTTTGCGATAAAAAAAATTCCGAAACCGATAAATAATTTGTCTATATTGATAATAAAATCTTATTTAATGTATGAATACGTATTTATTTCTTGTCTATCTTAGTAAAGTTAAGCAATACCTTTGAGAATTGTTTCTACAGTGTGTAAAAGGTATATGGATGTTTGTGTTCGATGTGTGGTTGAAACCGTGGAATTTTCTTCGATGTCGATGTTCCAACTAAGCCTAACGTCTTTGTTTTTGCAGCTATGGACAACAGGGTTTATGTATATTTCTTATAGTGATCAGAAAAGTATATTTAATCCCTGATTCAACTAATTCATGTCAAAATAAACTGGTAGAGAGCTGAATAAATCTTTTTTATCATGAGTAATGTCAATTCATGAAGATTACTTTGCATTACTTAAATTAGTGATTGCAAGATGTGTAAGAATTTCTTATTAAGTCTTTCACTTCATAGACTAGCTCAAAATAATCAAACTTCCATGGATTATATCTATGTAGCTTCGATATTCATGAAGAAGTATTTCTCTTCATTTCAGGTATATTCTGCATGATATTATCTTTGATTTATAAACCATTTGACAATAATTTTATTCTTAAATATTGTAGAATAATTGTAGGAATATGAGTGTATTAACTTCTAATTGATGAGAATAAATATGAATATAAAAGAGTTAGCATTAGATTTCCAAAAAGAAACGAAAAAATAAAACTTATAATTAGATTAATCGATTAGTCATACAAATAATTTTTGTATAGCATTCAGAGAACCAACTAGCGCGGGAAATTAGGTGGTTTTGGAAACATGGGTCCAGCCGGAAATTGAGGTGGCATCGGTGCTATTGGTGGTGTCGGTCTTAGAGATGCAGATGAACCTACAGAAGTAGTAGTTGAATCTTCACGACAGCTCGATGAAAATATATTGTCCGATCGATTAGAATCATGTGTTTTACGTGAAGATCCTAGAAGTGGATAATCTGATTCAATTTCTTTCAATTGAATTATATGAAGATCATTGCCCGAATCAAGACATGAGACGACTTTAAATTTTCGAGCAGCAACAAGTAATATTTCATCTTCTGTTGGAAAGAATGAATGTTGTTGAATATCTTTTCCAGAATCACAATCAATATTAAATAGAGTTCTACTGCCTGTCTTTCCAAGAAATTGTTCTGATTGAAGTACTTCTATTGAACTTGTACATGATGAAAAACCCCACCAAACAAATGTTTTTCCAATTGGATATTGCGTACTTAAATTCATTTTTACTCCTCGATATATTGTTTTAGATATTGATGGTAATTTTTCAAGTGCCGTAACAAATAATTTCAAATAAAGATGCCATGGTTTTAATTTTTCTTCATCTTCGGCTCGTAAAGTATTATTAAGAATAATATAGAATGAATTTTCTCTTGGTTCCCATTCAAGAGAATAGAGCATAATTGAAGTAGATTCATCAATTGTTAAACCATCTTTTGGTCTATCACATTTTTGTTTCGCTTTGGATATCATTTCTTTAATATTCGGAACAAGTGAAACAAGTGGTTCTACAGCAGTTTCGATCGAGACATTTGGTACAATATCGAATCGTACAATTGGATTTTTCGGAACTTCAGATGGTTTAAAATTCTCAATAACTCGAAGGGCATGTTGTGGTAAAAATCTTTGTAAGATATTATGAGACATTTTATGAGAAGAATGTCCACTTGCTAAATGATCGTGAAATTCCTAGAAGATTTTCAACAAAAAATGTAAGTGAATATTTACTTTCTATAAAATTGTATTCATTAAATTAGATCATTTTTCGCTTCTCTCACGAAATATCATTGTAGGAAAAGTCACTCTTGCACATGCAAATTTTAACAGAAATCATTTTTATTATTGAAAATCATACGAAAACTGATTATCATCATTGGTAAAATAAAAAATCTGGAAATCAATAATTTTAAATATAAAAATATATTCACTGCAAACAGTGGTTAATACGAAATAATTCAACATTCTTTTCACAAAAAAATTTGATTTCATAAAAAACACGCAATTATGTTTAAATTTCCGTTTCTTTCAAAGATTTCAAGAATCAAGACGAAATTCGAGCTTCAAAATCTCTCCTGTAGGCGAAGACTGATTCAGACTACATTATGATAAAAAAATAACACAACTAACGATTTCCGATCGCCAAAGAGGATTACTCTTGAAATAAAGATTTTGTTAACACGATCTTCTAGAGAATGAGTCGTACTTTTTAATACATATGAAAATATTTTTGAATACAACTAAAAAATATAAAAAATCTTCATAATTTGGGAAATTCTGAATTCAAATCAATTAAATATTCTTCACATAGAATCCAATATTTTTTTTTGTAGGAGACATCATGAAATATCTTCTCAAAAAAAATTGCATTCTAAAATGCTTTGACACTGAAATGCAGAAAAATAAATTCAATACAAACCTATATTGCTTGTGCTTATGAAGAGAAAGAATGATTAATAACTACTAAGGTTTCATTATCTACATTCGTATTATTTACGCTCATGGAAAAAGAAAAATATGAAAGAAAAAGAGTCATTATACACATTTTTTTTTGTATCAAAACATGATTTATAGTTATATATGCAATTTTTTTATGCTATAATGATTTCAAGGATACTACACGTGCATTTCAAATCATACAGCAACATTGTAATAAAATATCGCTTAATGATCGAATTTTTATTGAAATGATTGATAATTTGATACGGATGAAACTTTCTACTGTATATTCATACCGTTCTTGACTATGTTAGCAATTATATTTCGAGAAATATACTCTTCATGGTTATATTCCATTATTGAACAATCTGGCTTCGTGCCGATCACATATTTTTGACATTCATTCTATAATAAACTATATGTTAGCTTTTTTCTTATATTCCTATATTCTTTGAAAAATTCAAGATGCGTTAGAAAAAAAGTCACATGTATCTTCAAAAAGTGCCTCACACATAGTGTAAATATTAAGGGTCACATCAATATATATATATATATATTGTGATGAAAATTAAATTTCAGTTAGATTTTAAATTTATCCAGTCAATGTTAAAATTTTGATATCGCACAATAACAGGCTATTCACAATTAGACTCTGGGTAGTTATAAGATTCAACACGTATATGATGTAAGTGGGAAAAGGTGAAAAAAGACTTCTCTTCTTTACACTTTGCTCAAAAATAAGATTATTGTTGCAATATCATAAATGTATGTTCTATTCTACCAAATTTTGTAATAATTTTTAATAACATTAGATGAATCTCTGATGTGTTGATGCAACTCGATTAGATCTAATGAATGATTTTTCTTCGAAAGTCGAAGTAAACATAAGCAAAGAAATATATGACGTTCAATATAATAGTGAAGAAATTATTTTGTAGGAAGCAGAGTGCATCTGTTGTAACTATTTATTTAAGACAATTGTTGTGAAAGAAAATTGAAGTTAGATTCTGATTCTTTGCATTGGTTTTTTCTATGTAACTGTAATGAAGAAAACATGAACATAGAATTTCTTAATTGAAAAAGATTGTTTGAGTCGTGAGATAGCACGAGTTTTCAACCCTTTTCTTACTTGTAACCAGCATTATTCCACATGTAAGTGATGTAGGTTGCTACAATTTTAAAAGTATCAGAATCGACTCAGAGGAATATTGGTACAATTTAAAGTGATTTAGTACTTCCTAATAAGAGATATTCATAATTTCGTAAAGATGATGCAATGGTACCGCTAGAGTATGATTTACACATGTTTATCACAGTTTAAAATAAATCTAAAATACATCGACCATATTTTTTTTCTTCCAAAAACAATTGTTTCAAAGCTTTCTACAATTCGAACATCTTTTTATTTAGTTCATCCGATACATACAGAAAGAAGCCGTTAGTAGTCTATAATGTTATTGCAGCGTTTTCCAGACTTTTAAAAACTTTTTGTAGTGAAAATAAGTGTCCTATATAGTTGAGGAGATTCCTATATGAACAATGCTTTTTTAATTCCTATATTTTCATCAACTGGCATTGCGAAGCCAGTTCATTATTATCTACTAATCGACTCAATATCTATGATAAAAGAAATTTCTTTTTCTTCTCAATTATCTATTCCATCTCATTAGTATGACACAAGTTGATGATGAACAAATAACAAATATAAAATCATTAGATATGACATCTATACAATTATTAACGTCAGACAAGATGGTTCAAAAATATAGTTTGATTGTAAGTTAGAAATCTCAATTTGATCGATTGATTGATTGCTTTCTTTATTCTTTGGATGGGCGGATTTATCTACAAATTTAACTAATGATGCAAGCTCAATCAAATAAAAGTTAAAAGAAAATAATGATAATTATTAGATATAGTGTATCGTTCAACGACAGTTTTACAGATAACGGATATTCCATAATAAATAGCTCATTTTTATTTCCTAACTTCGAAGCATTTAATAATTTATTTTGAATTTTTGGTTTTCGAATAGATTTTTCGCATCACAGTAAAGTTAACAAGATCAACGTCTTCTCAATCGTATGAGTACAAAAGTCAAAAATGCGAAAAATAATAGAAAATTTTTAGAAACGAATCTGCTGAAATTTGAAATAGGCTATTATATTCTACACAAAATTCCGCATCTTTAGATGATCTTTTTCAAAGTGTTAGAGCAAATATTTGAGGGAAAAATTTCGAAATAAAAAATGTCGATGCACCGAATAAAAGCTGGTTTCGAAAAAAAATGAGTCATTGTTTTTGGCTGACTCAAATTAGCCTAAGTCTTTTTAACTATTCAAGTGAATACATGCACCATTTTGTTCAGAATTTAATTAGGCATCTGATGATATGAGATTCAGCATTTATAGGACCAGTCTGAATTGTGATAAGATAATTTTTCATAATATATCCCAAAATATTCTCAGATATTAGTTCGCAACTTTTATTCTCTCAAACAAAACACTTATATACAATACTTAACTCTTAGCATCGATCTTTATGAGCGCACGTTCATACAAATAGTTTTTTATCTTTAGCAAAATAGGAATTCGCATTTTGGGTGTGGGTAGGTGTCACTAAAAGTAGAATGCATCTACACCGAAACCAAAACCCACATCCAAACCAGTTCCTAGATCGAGGAGATTTTTTAACCAGAAGAAAAGTCTAAAAACCAGGATTCTCCTGGCTAAATCAGGAGATTTGGCAGACCTGGTTCCAGCTAGCACGACAGCGTTTTGCTGGGTAGTGACGTTCAGGTCTTTCTTCCCGATTGTTTAGATCGTGAAGCTGATTTTGAAATCTGGATTTTGACATAGATGTGACATTGGCTGCAAGTTGAAAATGATGTTTTCTTTCATCTATCTTTGCAATATTATTTCTTATCACAGTAATATCTTTGTGATCGGATGGAAGTATTTTTTCTTTCATATTTAATGACTGTTGATAATATTTCAATGCACGATCGAGATCATTCAATTCGTGATATATGGCTGCAATGTTGTTCAATGTCATAGCAGTATCAATATGATACGACGGTAAAAAGTGTTGCTGCATTTTTAGCACATTTTCATAATATTGCAATGCATGTTTATATTCTCCAGTTTCTGTATATATATTACCAATATTCATAAGTGTTGTTGTTGCTTGTATATGTTCTTTTCTATAATATTTTGCAAATATTTCTATAGACTTCGTATATAATTCAAGTGCCCGATCGTATTGTCCTTGTAGATGATAAACAATACCTATATTTGTCAATGGTTTCGCTGAATCTTTTATTCGCATTGGTTTATTATTCATCATTAAATTATAAACTAGTTCATAGTATTCAAGTGCCTTCTCAAAATCACCTTTATTATAATACGTTGATCCAATTAGATTATTAGTTTTTGCGATATCATTCTTTGCTGTATGATCACTTAATAATAAACTTTGAAAATATTTTAATGATTGATCATATTGTCCCATATCAATTAGTAATTTGCCAAATATAAGTTCAATACTAAATTCTTCTTCTCCTTTTCTATTTAGTTCGATATATTCTTTAGCAAATTTTGATCCATTATCACTAGCTCTTAGTTTAATTGACCATAGATGTAATTCTACATCTTCCTTAACGAAAACTAATTCAAATCTTGATCCCAGATCGAATAAAACTTCTAATTCACCTGCATAATCACTAAATTCTGCAATATCAGCAAAGATAATTGAGTCTGTTTCTTATATATTATATTCTATTTCATATAGAACGGAAACAATCTCTGAACAATTGCTCGGTTTTGTAGCGAACTTAAGTGCGACATTTTTTGAACGACTTGTTGATAGGAAACCATTTGTTGAAATTAAACGATCTTCATTTTGTTTTAAAGTTTTAAGTTCTTCTTCTTCCATTTTTAGTCCACGATAAAGCATAATGATTTTTTCATCTGTTTTTTGCAATTTTTCATATTCAATAGCAAGACTAAATGATAAATCAGCAATAAAAAATCGAAATATATGTAACTGTTCAATGTCTTCAGTTCTCAATGCTCTATTTACTATTTTATAGAGAAATGTGTCTTTCGTATACCATCTAATAGCCATATTCGATTTATAGTCATCTGCAAATTCATGAATAAATTTTAATTCTTTTTCATTTCCACTATAATAATGTTGACAAAATTCAATCATTTGTTGTTTTGCATGATTATCTCTCGGTAATCTCAAAATGACATCTTTAAACATTTGAAATCATAGAAATTCAACTGATTCTTTTGATAAATCTCTTCTAGATTTTTGTTTATGTTGATTAAAGAAATTGAATGTTTCTAAATATTTTTCGACGAGAATAGCATTTTCTTTGAGAGAATTAAGTAAATCATAACGTTTAATATAAATTCCAATTAGTTTCGTATATTTTTGTAATAGATCTTGATATTTTTCAGGTTTAAAACAAAAAAATAAATATTGAATCAACTTGTCTTAATGTATGAACTTTTCTTAAAATTTTTGCAGCATTTTTTCCAGATGTAATAAGAAATATTTTTTCATTTGTAATTGATTTAATACTATCAATACAAGCTTCTAGTTCAATATGAAACACAACAAAATTATTGATTTCTCGCAATTTTTTCATCGTTTCTTTCGTATCATTAGTTTTATCAATATTTGAATCATACCAAATCAATCGAATACTTTCCAGATTTTGTTGTGATTTCACGTCTTTAGCTATCGTTGATAATGAGGTCGATGCTAGTGAATGTGTAAGCTCCGGAGTGTTTGAAGAGTCATAAAACGTAGTTTTACCAACGACTGTAGTTTTTGCTGAAGAGCAACTCACATGAGATTATTGCTGTTGTTGCAAATCTTCACCATTATTCTTTAATGGCGAAACTATTTCTTTGAATGTATCTGTCGATTGTTTTTCTGACTGTTTGCTCATAATAGTTCTTAAAAAGAAAAGGGTATAATCTCTGTTGAATGATGAAATAAGTATATATACCAGGTGTTTCACAATGCTTGCACACGTTTTATTTTGCATATGTTTCAGCATCGATAAATGATAAGAACTTGATTTTTGTAAAGATATGCCATCGAAGCTCTACAAAATCTACATATAAAAATCTCTATTGACTTTCTCTCCTGATTTTTTTTTCTAAATGGATATGGGTGTGATAATGAAGAGACCGTACACACCCACATCCATTTAGAAAAAAATCAGGAGAGTCAGTAGAGTTGTTTTTTAATTGATTTTGTAGAGCTTTCGGTGGTACATCAAACAAAGAAATCAAGATTTTATCATTTGTCTCTGTTTGAAATAATTATATACGAAATAAAACGTGTGCAAACATTTTGGAACACCCAGTATATAACAATTCACACTAATAACATTGAGCATGGATATATCCGATCTTTAGTTTATAAACCTTGAATATCTATATGTATGTGGGACTGCTGTTTTCACGTTGTTTTAATGATTAATAAATATCTAATCCTTGTAGTTCTTTCAGATTAAACTTTTCGAGAGACGAGAAAGTCATTTGATTACGTTTGTAGCTACATCCACAGTCATGCTCACAGGAACCAACATGAGTGTGGGTGTTAGTTTCTTTTTCGCACACCCACACTTTCACCCTCGTTACTGGTGGAGCAAATATTGATGTCTACCTAAGTAGTGGAAAGTTCTTTGATCCATCAACAGGAACTTGGACAACTACTGGTCGCATGATTAGGCAACGAACAATGCACACAGCATTCATATTAACAAATGGAAAAGTATTAGTTGTTCATGAAGGAAAACAAGATAGTCCTCCGGATGGTACTGCTGAATTGTATGATTCATCAACTGGAATTTGGATAACTACTCACAGCATCAATAATGCACTATATGGTCACAGAGTATCCACATTAAGAAATGGACGTGTTAGTTATACTAGTGAAGGAACTTTTAGTGATATTTTTAGTAGTGTCGAATTGTATGACCCATTAATAGAAACTTGGACAACTACTGGTAACAGACCCATGCATGATATGATTACGCAATGACTTCATTAACAAATGGAAAAGTGTTAGTTACTGGTGAATGGTCAAATGTTAGTGTGGTTCGAACAGTGCAGAAATATATTAAACATTTCAAAAAGCAAATACAACAAGCAGCTTTTGATGTTTCATACCATGGTTCTTGTTTGCGACTATTATCCTTCAAAACCCGATTGTCTTCATATTTGTTCATTGTTTCATATTGTAGCTTTGGGTATTGTCTGTAGAATTTCCTTTCTGATCTATGATCATAAGAAACTATTCAAATTTTCTACAGCAGTTTTGTGAAATACGATTGATTATGAGTTTGGAATTACATAGTGAGAAAAGTGAACCCTTCTGCCTCTAATCTGGTCCCAAAGTTTGTGACAGACAGATAGAATAGAAAAAATTCTCTAACATTACAAAATCAGATCGAAATAGTCCTGAACAAATCGAATGTACGATATATTAACTCTTGTTTTTCAGCAATCGACGATTCGATGAAAATTAGTAGCAGAGAATTGTTTACTTCGAATTCCAATGAAGGAATGCAGAGTTCATTTGCGGAAATATTTCGTAACATTTATCAAGACTCATTCATCAGTGCTCTGAATTCTTGTGAAATACATCTAACTTTTTACACAAGAGTACGAAGAATAATATTGCTAATACAAAGCATAAAACACTAAGATCTCAAATGCAACAGAAGGAAAAAATAAGTTTTAATTACAAGCCAAGAATATTGACGACCGCAGAAAGTCAAATGAAACTGCGTAGAACAGTATTATATTTCCTGTTTTGTCCTTTTTAAGGAAGCATCTTCTTGTTGATTTATTTTAAATTTAAGGGTGTAGATATGTATGTGGACATAGGATTCTTTTCAGCAGAAGCCTGACACTCAAACCCACATATTCCACACCCATTCCCACATCCGAGACAACCCATTTATATTTTTCAGTGAACAAGCTTTAAGAATTCTTTATTTCTGATTCATATGCTTCATTTCATCATATGATTCTCTTCATAGATATTTTTTTCTTTTCACCAAAATCTATGAGAATCCAGCAGGAGTAGCACCAGCACCAACGTATTCCCAATGCCAGGGTTCTGATTGAACAGTACGTGTAAATCCATAATTATGTGCATTATTGTATAACCATTGATAAACTGCACTTCCTCCACAAGATGGTTTAGTACCAGATTGAGAGCCACAGTTCGTATTCAAATCTAAAGCAATGCCACGACCATGATTTGATGTACCTGGACGGGCAGCTAGATTACCACCATTACATGATCCAGTTTGATAGCAATTCCAGAAGTATTGTTGACGAGCAATTGTTCTGAAACCAGAAGAAATGGTGATTATGACGCCTGCTTGTTTGGCAGCTGTAGCCATCTTATCAAAAGCACATGATGTTGTTGTAGTCATCGTATTGTCTTTATCTGTTGGTGCTGCTGAATATATACTTGGATCAGAAAGATGTTCTTTTAGAATTTTCACCACTGAATAGACGATACCATCATTGCCAGCAATCGGGAAAATAGTAGAATCAGCATAATTTCCACAAAGTCCATCTACCAAGAAAATACGACATAATATCTAATAAGTATCTTTTGATGATGAACTTACTCGAAGTAGTTGTTGTTGCCGACAAACAGCATTTAATATCAGCTGGATGACTTTCACATAAATCTGATATGTAAAGACTCTGTGCGCAACTAGAAGTTGGAATACATCGACCAACTTTGACGTACTTTGAATGTGCATATGATTCGCATGAGTCACCTTGTCATCAAGTAATAACAAAGGACATTATTCAATTACAAGTTAATCTTTTTTGCCTTACCAACAACGGATGTTGTTAAAAAGGCAATGATGGTAAGTAGAAGAAGCATTGTTCTCTATTAGAATGAGAAAGTAAATGAAGTATGTTTGGAAGAGGCCAGTTTTTATATCAAAATCCTGATGAAGAAGCAAAACAAAATAATATTTTACTCTATTGAATTGAAAATCTATATGGCTGATAGAAGGGAAAAAAGCATTTAAATTCCATTAGACGCTTTTTTTGTTTCATTTTTCAGACGAGAAAATATGTGTTTTTGAAGAAAGACGGTATACTTTCTGATTTGATGGACAAATACTAGATAGTTAGGGATGGAGAGAATAACAAAATTTCTTAGATATCTCGATGCCTTAATGTTGAAATTGAATGAGTGAAATCAACATTTGATTGTGGAATGAATTTTGTCATTTCAATCAAATCGATTTGACGACAAACATTTCACTTTCATCTCAATCTCTCATGTTTTTTTTCCATAGGATACTCAAGGGTGAGGGCGGATGACAGTAAGGATGTGCGATGAGTCAATCTCATTGATGAATAAACTTATCAGTACAAATTTCATTCGAGACTTCAATCATTTACTTTGCACCACGACACGTAGTTTTATCCTACCGAGCTTGAGGATGTGGAACTGAGCTCAGCTGGCTATAATCCAGATTTCGAGGGTGTTGGTGGATGTAGGATGTGGATGAAGAAATGAAAGTACAGGCACATCCACACACGGGCCACATCGACATTCTCGAACTAGCTTTCTCATAGAAGCAATCCTTATGATGCTCAGTCGTACAATATTGACAAATGCATTTCATCGATCTATTCATATGTACATGGGTGTGGTTCTGAATAGCTGCACGGTATTATAGTTTTTGGTCATCATCTTCGTCCGCGCTTGTCCTTTAAGTTTCCTTTGTTCCTCTTATATCACTGCAGAATTCTAAATAATCTCAGAGTGTAAGTCTGCGCATCATAAAAAGAAAGAAAATGTTCGTCTTCTTCTTCGAAAGAAAGAAAGAAATTTCAAATAGTAACAATTAAAGAAAAAAAAGAAAAAGTTTAATATAAAACAAATGATACAGTAACAATTCATTATTTCTTTTGTTCACTATCAGCTAGTCATTTGGTGTTCTTATACAGTTGGCTCAAAAATGGAGACACTGGCCGAGACTGGAAGTTAGGGTTTTTTGGCGCTTTGTCGACGACGTAAGAGGGAGAGAAGAAAGGTGCAAAAATAGAAGAGAATAGCCATAAGAACACATATAATTAGTAGTGTGGGAAAATGTTTCGGATTTTTATCCATCACATCACCTGAAAACAAAATTTGAAGACATTATATTTGCAGGCAAAAAAAAGTTAACCGAACAGCAATAGTATGACATTTAATCGTTGATTAATAAAAGCAAATGATAAAGGAAAGATTGGAGAGAAAACTAAACCAGTGAATAAGCCGAGAATAAACAAACTATAAATGGACAATCCAATGGTCCACATATAAATCATCCATGTTATTGCCAATGTCAGTCCATCGATTCAAAGCACAATCGATACTCTATCAACCGACAGAAATAGAGTCATCACAGCGCAAATCAGACAACCGATCTGAAGAAAAATCTGTTCTCACAACACTGATGATGATCTGAAAATTTGACTTACAGAATACGAGAGCCATTAGAGAATCATGCCTACAGAGGCATTTTTCGTTGAACTTTGAAACTGTGCTGATTTCATGTAAGCAGAAAGAATCTACCAAATGTTTGATCGATAGTAGTGACAAAAAACGTGTAAACAACCCATAGACTGGACATGAATACTTTGTGATACAAATGATCATGACTATGTGTTTGTGGCGAATATTGAGAATAATTGGGTTGAGCTTCGCCAGAAGGTGTCGTATTCACGGCAGTATAATTGACTTATTGCACTTGAAGTGTTTGACGCCGAGTTCGATGTTTACAAATGGCAAAGACCAAATGATCGATGGCTGTCAGCAAACAAAGACTCGCTGCGAGTGAATATGGCATCTTGATATTTGTTGACGATGAATATGAGAAAGTTTCCATGATAGAATTAGGATTTCAAATGGATAATTCAATCGGTTCTTTGTCGAGAAATTGAACTACGAGAATATTGGCTGAGGCAGCACCAAATCCGAAGCCCAAGTGAACCGTATTCAATGGAGTGGACGCATGGCTATCCCATATGGTCAATAAAAAGCTTGTGCCACCTAAAACAAACATTATTCAATATCTGCATGCTTGTGAAACCTAAACAAAACTGACCGGTATCAGTGAATCTTTGAGAGATTCCTTGATAGAAGAACAAAATTGATAGAACCAACAACGAGTCAATATACGGAATAATAACAACGACTAGAAATCATCAAATGATCGAATGACAAAAGATTTAATTTCACTGATCAGGACATGCAATAAAAGACGCAACAGCAAGTAAAGCTGGATATCGTTGAACCATTTTTTGCTTTGCTACTCCAGCTATATTTTCAGCAATATATTCATCACCTCAAGTAGCTAAAATCGTACGGATTCCAGTGAAAGTTACACCTGTTTGAGAAGCCAATATTTTCAAAGTTGGACCAACCAGTTCCGAATGAATGCCCTATCATCAATCAATAATTCTTGTAGAGAGTAAAAATAATTGAAAGATAATCGATCAGAACAATTCAAGTGATTACCAGAACACCCGTTTTGAGCAATTCCCAAAGTCGAAAGATGTATACTTGCAGACCTGCCTTCTTTTTTGTCTCGACTCTATCGTTCGATCTTGAAGTCATTGATTTTCTTCTTCTTCACCGACTAACAATCAAACAAACGCTAGTGACGAAATGCAAAAATAGAAATCAAATTCATGTAATGTTTAGCATTGAAAAAGTAATGTCATGCATCCATTTCTGAGTGACAAAGATCCCGATGAGTGTCACTCTATGCGAATAAAAGAATTCTAAAGAGCAATATACAACATTCCTCTTCTTTGAAACGCCTGGACCGTTATGTCATTCACCATTCTTCCTCGCATATATATGTGTCCGTCAGTTTTGCCTGAAAATATAGATATTTTTGAGAAGAGAACGACAACAATATCAATATAACGTAAAAGACATACTCACACAAGCAATATCAACTAGTACCTTGCTTTATTGAGGAAATTGAAAGAACAAAAGTAACG